GATCTGCTTCTGAAAGGTCACAGCCTTAAAAACCCTATGGAGCACTGTTCTATTCTGCACACATAGGGGGGCCATGAGTTGGAATCAACTTGACGGTAATTAACAACAACGACAAGTATGTATATAACAAAACATTTGCTATTTCAACAATTTTTGTATGTACAATTCAGTGACATTAATTACATTCATTATGTTATCCATTTTAAGGAGCCCTCGTGGCACAATGGTTAAGCACTCTGCTGCTAACTGAAAGGTTGGTAGTTCAAACCCACCAGCTGCTCGGCAAGAGAAAGATGTGGCAGTCTGCTTCCATAAAGATTATAGCCTAGGAAACCCTATGGGACACTTCTACTCTGTCGTATAGGGTTACTATGAGTTGGAATCAACTCGATGGCACACAACAATAATATGTTATCCGTTTTAGTTCCACCAGACTGTAAGCTTCATGAGGGCAGGGAATGTGTCTGATTTGCTGTGTAATCTCACTGCTTAGCAGTTTTTGATACATAATAGTGTACATGTGTGATCATGGGCAAATGACTCAATTTCTCTGAGCTTTAATTTTCTTAAGTATAAAATGCATATTATAATATCTGCTTCACAGAGTTGAATCCCTCCTTGGCCACTTGCTGTTCAGGCTAAAGAAACAAGTGGCCAATTGCATGCACAATGATTCAAATATGGGTGCAATCAGTCTGTGGGCACAAAATGGTACACACACAAAAAGGAGGCCTGAGTGAGTTTCTTTGAAAACTTGGCCCCAACAGTTCACACTACTATATATTTGCACAGTTACAACTCTTTGTATTTGTTGACAATGCCTTTTACTTATTGTAAGTCAGTAATACTGCTTGAAATAAGCATCTGTGTAGATGCAGATAATTGGAATTTCTTGACATTTTAAATGATACCAGCTATTAATGAAAATTGTCAAAAAAGGAGGAACATAAATTCTGTGTTATGTATTTAAACATGGAATGAATCAGAGCTGTGATTTCTGAAATAAAGCATGACGTATGTTTTAAGAAATAGCATTTTGAGGAATGAAACTGCTTTGGGGAGCAATTATTTGATCTACAATTGTAGCTCTATATTTAATGCAAGTTAGATTTCATTCATTTAAGTGAATCAGATTGGATGATACAATGGGGAAAAAAAGTTCAACTCTGTGACTCAGGGCCATGTTATAAATATTATCACTAATGCTTGCTTCTATAATGTATAAAATAAAGCAGTTTTTATTTAAGAAGAAAACAATGTATTATGTATTTGTGTTTTCAATATTGTAAGCATTAAAGTGTAAATTGGCATATTTTCCTTGTTAAATAAAAGGTATGATAAAATCTTTTCATTGTTTACATACCATAAAATGCAATCTGAACCATCTTCCTTAAAGTTAATACCCATTTAATAATCTTTATATAAATTTCTCCTTTCTTTATCCAAATTAGAAGAACTATTTTTCTATCTTAAACAACTGAATTAATTCTTCATTGTGTCTTATAGTTAATTATTTTTTAAAGGCTAGAAACCGACGAAAGAATATAAATACAGATATTCAAAAGTATATTAGTTGGTGTTATCAAAAGTGACATTTTGATGATTATTACATTGGCAAGTGAAAAAAAGGATCGAGTTTGCCGAACAACTTTGGAACGTGCTGTTAAAATAAGATATTCAAACTAGGCTGTGTGTTTGGCCTTACAAGCTAAGCCTAGAGCTTCTAAATAAACTTCCTTCCAATGTTTACCTCTTTCAACAGAAGAGTCCTGCCATTAAGGAAATCATGTCTAGCAGCAAAAAA